ATCTAAAGGTTTCTTTAAAATATAAATCTGAGCTTCAGTGCACACAAACTGACAGAAATGAGTATAAACAACAATTTTATCTTAGAGCCTTACACAGACATATCTATACACTCAATAATTTCAGTAAGTAAAAGTAGTTATGCTTTGTTACTGAAACTGTATTCAAAATAATTTGAGTATATAGCAAGAACGAATTATTTAATCTATTTTATCTTAAACCTTTCTAGGAGATCCTCTGTGATGTTTCTGCCCTTCTGAAATGCTTCCTCATACATTACCTTTAGATATGTCCAGCTCTAGAACTGTGGCACCACCAAAGAGCCAGTGCACAACAAAAGGGTAAATAAGATAAAGAATTAATGGGGAAGGAAGAAGCATCAACATGAAATGTGAATAAATATGCAACTGTAAAAGTTTTCCAATCAAGTCGCATAACCTGAGTGGCGTATTCAGTCTTTCATGGGTTTAACCTAAACTGGCAACTAAGCACCTCACAACCACTCACTCACTCTTTCCTGGTGGGATGGAGGAGAGAACTGGATAGGTAAAAGTAAGAAAATTTAATAATTTAATAAAATTAATACTAATACTACTAGTAATAACAAAAATAACAAAAATATGGGAGAAATAAAACCCAAGAAAAGCAAGTGACACAAATGAAAAACAATGGCTCACCGCCAACCAATGCCCAGACAGTTCCCAAGCAGCAGCTTCCCCCCACCAACCTCCACCCTAGTTTTACTGCTGAGCATGAAGCCATGTGGTTCAGAGTATCCCTTTGGTCAGCTGCGGTCAGCTGTCCTGGCTGTGTCCCTTCGTAACTCTTTGTGCACGCCCAGCCTCCTCGCTGGTGGGGCGATGTGAAGGGCAGAAAAGACTTGGATGCTTTGTAAGCATTGCTCAGCAGTAACAGGAACATCCCTGTGTCATCAGCTGTTTCCAGCACAAATCTGAAACAAAGAACCATTCTAGTTGCTGCAAAGAAAATTACCTCTTTGCCAGCCAAAGCCAGCACAATGGGGAATATATTTTTAAGTCCTGAACTTAATAATACTGTGTTCTGAGTGAGCTTTTCCTGTTGGTGATGTTTGGTTTTGATTTGTTATTATACCAGAAGAACTTACACACATTTTACAAGTCTGTATAGCTTTGAGGTTTTGGTTTGGTTTGGTTTTTAAATTTACTGATGCATGTCCTTTCCTGTAGTTTATCCTAGAACAATTTAAGCTGGGGTTCCTCCTTCATTCTTGATATAAAGTCCGTCTCTCTAAAATTTTTACAAGTTTCCCCAAAAATTTCTGCCTCTGCTTCCTGACACCGACCTCTCCAGCCCCTCATAACATCAGATGTATTCTATTCCTTTAGACACATTCTTCCAATGTTACATTACTGAATCTCAGAGAGATTAAATGTTCAGTATCCATGTGAAGCAAGGAAGGGGCTTTTCAAATTGCAGGGTCAGTCTAACTAAGGGAACCTATATAATATCTGATTTGGGTCTCAATTTTTTTAAAAGGACCAGAAATAGAAGTTTCTATAAGGTAAGTGATATACAAGATTCACCTTAGATTTCCTGCAAGTTATTTCTAAATCTCCAGATCCTCTCTCTGAAAGCTCTCATCTGCAACCGTTAAGTATGCTTGAAAATAGACATTGTAATTCAGCTGCCAGTGACTGTTATCAGACGTGAACAGGAGGCAGTGTTTCTCTCATGCCACCTGCATTCCTCTCTGTCAGGAAAAACTGCTGTGCAAATGCCTACAACAGAGTACCAAGCCAGATCCAAATGAGCTGGTATACTTAGAAAAAATCAGTATCTTACCTTTATACTAGGTGAAATCCCAGAAGTAATACAGCCATCCATATCAGCTACCGAGAGCAAGTTCAGACAGGCCTATGAAAGCAGGACTGAAAACCACCACAGAGCAGTCATGTGCCTCTATCAGAAATGGAGATATAGCAAGTATCTGTTGCCCGAAAGTGTGACTCTTGGAAGAATAGAAACTTTGGAAGCACAGCACAAGGCAGACAGACTGGGATCTCACAGAGAAGGGTTCCAGACTAGGATGAAAGAGCAGAAGCTCAAGCTTAGAATCTATTTCCACAAGAAAGGAGTGACACAGTTCAGGTGATTCTTTGCATACTCTGTATTCATCATATGCCATTTCATCAAATCCTACTTAGGAAAGGAATCACTGAAGGGGAGGCGTGATCTTTCACAAAAATAAGGCACGACAGGCAAACTTGCAAGTTATGACCCAAAGCCTCTCTGGTGCTCTGCTCACGCCCATTCAACGTTTTTCAACCAAAGAGCAAATCTATCAATGCACAGGACCTGAATGCAACAGAACTAGAAAGGTATAACAATATTAGTGTTGCACTGAGGTAAGAAGGCTCTGTCCACACAAAATTAGGAGAAAATCAAAAGGCCAAAGAACCATGTAGTTTCACAGTATCTTCTGTGCAGCAAGGCAGAAGATTTGAAACTCATCATATGACATTGCCACATGAGGAAAAAGGTGACTGCAGACATAAAAAAAGACCTTGGACATAAGCGAAGTCTTCTTTCCAGCCTTTGTAACCAATTAGACATTTCAGAAGCAATTTTACTGACACCATGTTTGTATGTTAATATAAAAACAATTTATAAATATATCTTATTAATCAGTTTTTATTCCTATAAAGTTTAGAAACTATAATCAAATATGACAGCTACCAGATCCCTTTGGCCAGATTTAGTGGGTATAAATTTGAAAAGATGCTTCCAGAGAACCTTTTTGAAAATATCCACTGAATTGTAATTGCAATGGAGTATAGAAGAAAGCCAGATGTGATAGGTTGTATTCTACTTATGCTACATAATTCTCCCATACATAAAACAATCAACAATACTCATTAAATTAAAACAATTTAAAAAGCCCAAAATGTTACAGTAACACAAAAGAATACACAGTGTATTAATTATCAATGCTTTATTATTGAAACAAAATTGAAATTTTTTTATCTGGCACATAAACAATTATTTCTACAAAAAGGAAAGCCTACAAATCTGATAATTTATACAAATAACAGTTCTTCAAAAAATAAAACTTTAATTTAGTAAACTGATCTTGTGCTCTTTTACATTTTTTTAGCACTGTCTGCAATAATCCACCATAAATCCCTGAGCAGAGAGACATATTTTAAACATGTTTTAAATTTATCCCAAAGAAGAAAGTTATCAAGCCCAGACCTATATTAAAAAAATGTATTCAGGGACATTCTTGGTAAATTTACGGTAGTCCTTTTTCCTTTCTTTTCCTTTTCTTTTTTTTTCTTTTTTTTTTTTTTTGTTAAAGAAACAAAAAAACCCAGTTATCAATGCAAGCATGACACCATATCACAGGAGTGCTCCCCTTTTCCCCCTTTTTGTGCAATGAATAAAAATTATTAAACAAGGATAAGTACAAGTTGAAGGAGACAAATAACATGGTGAATGGTTAAGACCAAGAAGCCATCGGAGTTTGATGGCTGTTGAGAAAATAAAGCTCCAGGATACCACAGTTCTATACCAAGTTCAGTTATAATGACTATCTATTTCTATATTTTTTTTTCCCAGAAAGCCAGTAAAGCAGGAGAATACGTTCAAGCTACCATTGTATTCTAACACTGGTTTCAATGATAAAGTAGAAATTCAACTTTTGATCCTTCATATTTCCTTTTCCAGCAACAACATTATTTGAGAAAAACTTGACACACTCCACAAAACCAGACAATCTTTCCCCTCTGGCCCTTCTGGCAGGCCAGTTGTAAACCTAGCAACTTATGGTATTTTAGTGAGCAATAGGAAAGAAAAGGAAACACACATTACTATATTTTTTTTTACTATACTGACTTTGAAACAGCTATTCCCCAATCTATTTCAATACAGAGTTAAAAACCAAGTATAAGGTGAGAATGACCAAGAAGGTAGAGTATAACTCAAGTGTTCCCTTTCCCACTAGGTACGTACATTAACCACAAAACAAATGCAAGTAAAACCAAACAAAAGAAATAGCAACACTTACAGTCGTGTTAATGGCAGGTAACATTGCTGCAGTCAAGTAATAAATAAATAAATACAGCAAAGAGTTCTCTACTTTTTTGTTGGAATGGTGCTCAACAGTTAAAAAAGAATACATAAACTAAAAACCCCAAACCTTTTCTCAGTAAAAAAAAGTTTTCAACAGAAGATCCTGAAGAAGCTTCAGTTCAAGGTGCTCTACCACTTTAACATTTTATCTATCATTATGAAAGGAATACCGAAGCAGATATCAAAGATCCATTAAATGAAATAGTAAATTTTCTTACAAGCAATAATACTTATTCCAAAGAAAGAAAGCAGTTAATAAATGGTCTGGAAAAAAACTGACTAAAGCTTCATACACTCAATTTGAAATAAATTATCTTTACGTTGAAAATTTGAAGACTAAGACAGTAATGAGGCCAAATCATTCTGAAACAGAAATAAATTGAACCTCACCAAAAGCATATTTAGATATTTGACAGTTCTGCTGCTAGCACATGTCAGAATACAAACAGAATGCTAATATTTGCTTAGAATCTGAATAGGTAATACTCATTAAAACACCACCACTGTGAAAAGTAACTGGCAACCACCATTACAGATTTCTCTTGATCTACACTATTTTAAGCATAATCTAATCTAGTCTCTTCAGTTATTTGCGATCCTCATCAATGGATAACATTCCCTTTTCTCAGAGTTGCTCATGAAGTCTCATTGTTGCATATCCAAACACTAATACTTTCAAATCTCACTTGTACTAGTTATTGCAAAAATATTGTATTCAGAGACCAGTTTAAAGCTGAACTTATCTGACGGCAAAGTTAAGAGAGTAAACCACATTATTCTATAATACCAATTATTTTTTTCCCAAGATGACAGTCTGACCACCTTGATTTGGTATCAAGGCAAACATCACTCTTGCCTGTATTGCTAAATCACACCCCTGGACTTTTTTTACCAGCCTACATACTATATCTGATGTAGAATATGGGCAGTTCCTTAGTCATTCTGTCTACCTGACAGCAATTTGACTGTATGCCTCAAGAAACCTGCATTAAAAGTTAACAAGCTGAAATAACAGGCATGTTTCAGTAAACAACTTCGAATGCTGTCATCTAATCATGTGACAGGTTTGAAAAACCTTGGCCATATAAGCTGAGAAATTGGAAAGCAAATGGTTCAAAAGTGAGATACAGCAGCATTAAGACAAACTGCAAACATGTTTGATTTAGTATACATTTTAATGAGTTACAGTATCAGCAAAATACTTTAACCCACTATTACCACTAACTCCCATATGGCTTTGTATATACTGTGCGATTTTCCCTTAGCATTTCTATGACAGTACATATTTCAGGTACCCACCCAAAAGTAAGCAATACGGGATTTGCAATGATTTATCAAATATGCCCAAACACCTCCTCTCAAGTGCTATGGTTTCAAATATTTTTGTGGGGTAACAAGTCCTTCACGAATACCTCAAAGTATCTCTTACTCTATTTATCTGGGAGAATAATTTCTCTTTAGCAGTAACTAAGACCTTTGATCCTTGCAGTCAAGTCCAGGGAGTTCTCTGACTGAACAACTGCGTGTGGAAGTTCTAGTTTGTGGATTTAGTAAGTTTAAGGAAGAAAAATACAGAGTTTTCATTATCATGTTTTGGATGTCTTCAAACCTTGCTTCTCCATGATATTCCACAATTTGCGTAGATTGGACTGGGTGATGACATCATCAGGTTTAAGTTGAAGAGCAAGGAGGTAGTTTTCTTCAGCCTCTTTCAGTTTACCATTCAGATGGAGAATGGCTCCAAGATTCATTAAGGCAGCTGGATACTGGCACAATAAAAAAAAAAAAAAAGGAAGGAAGAATATTAGGAATATTTTCAAGTTTTCTTTTTAGATAATCTTCTTCTACTAAAACAAATTATTCCCTTATGTTTTCAGACTTTTCATGAAAGCAATTTAGTAATTTAAGCAAATAGAGATAACAAGAAAAAGTTCCTGAACAGCTGCTGCACACTTTTTGCTTTGAACAGGTCAAGCTCTGGTGTCTACAAACATATACTTCCCACTTTAATGAAAAAAACCAGAACTCAGTAAGCTTTATATATAGTATTGTCAGTATAACACAGGCTCCAAGAGAAAATTAAAGTAATACAATACTGGATTAAAGATAGGAATTTAATTTTAATCAACTCATTGCCAATGAAGAATTTATAATTGTTGGAAATTAACATATTGGAACTTATCCTTTTCTTCTCTTTGTCTTAATTATAACTAGTGGAAAATACAATCTGTTTTCAGATTCTAAGGTTATTAAGGGGTTCTAGGATATCTATTTAGATTCAGGTTGTGGCAATTATTTCTTAACGAATGACTGAATAAAATCAACAATGGTGGAAACACATGGTATTTTAATAAGAAGATGTTAAAATTTTGTAACAAATCCATTTAAAAGCTTCTTATGTTGCTAACAATTTTTCCATCTTCAGCTAAGAAAAAATGCTTCTTGCTTTCATTTTTTCATCTCTAGATTATTCCATTATGAAATAATAGATTCTTCATGATACAAATATGCCTGGTCATTGGGGTTGACAAATACTAAAAGAGCAGAAAAGCACATTTATGAAGTTACAAACAGCTTAACCTACCTTTTGGCAAGTACCAAAGGTATTCACATGGCAGTGAGAGCACAATAAAGGCATTTGCCAAACCAGTACCTTGCCCCTCAAAGAAGAAGGGGAAAAAATGCTACACAAAGTTCACTATGGTTCTCCCTCTCAGATCACTTTAAGTTCCAATGAGCTTCAGGAACACTCACTTTTGGTCACATAGTTTTGCCTCAGAGTACAAGTGTTTTAAGACACGACACCACTCAGCAGTTCTCTGATCAAAATACAATACTCAAAATGTGAAGCCACATGCCAAATCACCTTCAGATTACTGCGAGGAGGGGGTGTTTGTATGCTTTAGAAGTCCCTCCGTGACAATAACTTCAGGAAAATGGTTAGACCCTGGAACAGCCTGCCCTGAGAAGTTGCAGATGCCCAGTCTCTGGAAGCATTCCAGGCCAGGTTGGATGGTGTTTTGAGCAACCCAGTGTACTGGAAGGTGTTCCTGCCTATGGCAGAGGGTTTGGAACTAGATGATCTTCAATGTCCCTTCCAACCCAAACCATTTGATAATTCCATGAAAATATAGTAGGTATATGGCCAACAGAATGTGCACTACAGTTGTCTCCCAAACTGATATGGTAATGGGAAATCATTATGATGAGGAAGACTTATCTGTGTTCCAAATCTCTCCACTAGCAAGTTAAATTCATTACTCTTATCCTTTTGAATCAAGCTTCAACAAAACCCCAGTAATTCTTGTGTCCAAAACCTAAATTTTGTGGTGGAAATGTTCAGATGATTCTACAGCTTTATATCCTATAAATATTCCATATTTTTTCAGCTTTCTTCTTGCTTCTTTTCACCTATTAATACATGAATCACAAAATCTCAGGAAAAACTGCGACATACCAAATTCTCAGAACAAGTGGCTTCTAGAATTTCAAAATTAGGTAAAACAAAATTAGTTCAGCTCTCTCTATTGTAAATATCACAATGGAAATGCAGTGGAATCTAAAGATGTTATTTTTAGGTTTAATTTTTCTTACTTTACTCTGATAGATTTTTTCTACCTCCCCTAAGTCAGTTACTTTCTTCTACTGAGAATCAACAAACAAACAAACAAAAAAAAAAAACCAGCTGGGTTTTATGTAGTTTTGCCAGTCAAATACTATCCAAGATTTCCTCTTCAGTAATATTCTGTACAGAGAAGGAAAACCATGCCCCTGAAATGTTATCTTTGCTACAGGCAATACATATCATCAGCCACATCTTCACAGCTTCACCTTTGCAGTGCCAGTCTTGCATGCTAGTTTATAATGGAATAATACACTCCTTAATTACTGATGTTCTGGGTCCTGACTGATGTTACAAAGTTAAGGCTTGGAAATCTGCTCTACTGTATATGGATGGCTGTCCTAATATCCATATGTTTTATTTATTAATTTATTTTTAGACTTCAGATTGTTTGAGAGAAGTTTCTCACATCACGAGTAGGAACATCCATTCCCTCTATTCACTCTACTCATTTGTCTAATAAAAGTTCATGAATCAAACAGCTTTCTTCAAGAGCACAGTTATTGACACAGAGCTGACTTCTCACCTGAAATATAACTATGTGTGTATGTTTGCACCGAGACAAAACTTACAATGGATAAGGATTAAAACAACTTTAAACCTAGAAAAACTCATATAAATAAGACATATGTTTAAATGTGCTCAGGGCCAATTCTACAGCATCCACAAAACCTATTGTGTGGTAAGTAACACAGATGTCTCATATGGCTTCCAGAATTCCTTTTCATTTCCTCCATCCTCTCCTGAAAATATGGTGCGTGTATGGGACTAATCCAGTACTCCAAAAACGATCATATATATGACTATTCAACTACCTAAGAAACTCTTCTACCATTATCTCTTTGACATATCATTTCACAAGAGCAAGCAACAAAAACTAATAAAAAGGACAAACTGCATGCCTTTTAACTGAAATTTTCCAACTTCTACACATCATCTCTAATTTCCTGGAGGCCTAGCAAATTCTATGCCATTAATGCTTTAAACTAATGTAAAACGTGAACTGATAACTCATTTCAGGTAGTCCTGAAAGTTCATTCCAACTCCTTTACATTTCAAATGGGAAAGTGCATAGCATTTTGGAAAGACTGCTCCCTAATTTTCTAGGGTATCAGTCACCCCAAGATCTATGGTTTATAGTCATAGTGGCAAGAATTTTGCATGTCTGCAAGATTATACATCACTGCCATTCCTCTCTGACAGCTATAAAGGTTGGTCAGAGGATAAGAGAGCAAGAGACATTTGCTATAGTTTTTCTTCACATAGATTGTCTTTTATTAAAGACAGCTGATAAAACTTTTCAGTATGTTAACAAAGGCAGTCGACAGCTACCAGTGCAATAACATGGGACTCGAAGCACTGTATAACAAATGACACCACCTACTACTTCAGAAACTTGAAAGGAGAAACAGGCCTGCTTTCATTTCCTTTTGGAGACAGATGCTTTACATCAAAAAAAAAAAAAAAAAAAAAAAAAAAAAAAAGCTGACTGGCATTTCTATCAAGGTTATAAATGCTGTCTTTTATGGTCTATTTGGAATTATTCCCTTCATTAGCATTTTTATTGTGGTGGGCTTGTTTCCTTAGTGGTTTTTTGGGTGCAGTGGAAGGAGGTGGTTGGGGGGAGGAGGGGAGAGGAATAACAGAATAGTTAATGAATAACAAAATAATGTAAGGCCTGCATTCAGTTGCCTGAGATGTTTCTGGTTTACATTGATTACAATTTTTCAAACTTTCCCTATATTACCAAAATAAAAGGAGAGCATTGGGCCATGCAAAAATCTTAAAATAAAGTCCCCTCTAAAATTAGAGAACTATGGAATTTCAAGTAATTCAAATTAATTCTGGGTAGTATTTTGAGATTATACTATTGTAACCACATACAGTATTGGACCCACAAATGGAATGAATCTTAATGACAAGATGAATTGCTTCCTTGTTTGTAATCTCTGCCTCCACACATAGCAAATGCCATATCAGAAGAACAGTCCCTAACACAAGAAGACAATTTAACTCCTACATGGCCTGAGAAGTTATGCAGAAACAAATATACAAACCCTTAACCTAGCACAAACTTGTCTGTATGGCAGACAAGTATGAACAAACAACAGTTCAAACACAAGGAAGGAAATCTGAAATTGTTTTCCTCAAAGCTCTGCTTACAGATGACCTTCTCTGGTCAATGCCACAGAGATCAGGGTAGCAGATTCTGAGATGAGAGTGCATTCTGTTGCTGCTGGGGTACTTACAAGGAAATGATGGCAATTTTTACTTCAGTAGAATCACAAGTGCAAGCTGCTTCTCACTTATCCATTTCAAAAGGTCACTGAAAAAATGTTGCCAAAATCCACCTTGCTCCTAATGAATTACTGCTATGTATGATATTGTAGATGCTTCAAAACAATCTCGAGACTGTTTAATAAATACTGTAATATGTGTGGCCAACCCATCAGAAACACAAAGGTTGTGCTTTGTTTTAAAACAGTGCCATTAAAGACACTTATTTTTTTTAAGCGTTCCTATCGAGTAAAGTCCATAATTAAAGACAGACACAAAATATCATTCGCATGTGCATATTTAATCCCAGCATTTCTAGTTATAAAGGAGTGAAGAATTTAGACATTTCTCTTTGCTAACTGAAGACACGTAGGTGGTACAATGACTGAGTAGTCAAACAGCAGAGTATTAGCTGTAGAATGGCTCACAAGGCATGCGAGAAAAGAGTGGTGGACTGCTTCATCTGATCAGTCACCACTGGATAATGAGCTGTTAGGCCTTTTTTATCACCCTACAGTGATGGTAAGAATTTTCCCTTGAATATTTATTACTGGTATTATTGCTGTAGAACAGCACAGTATTTTCTGTAACAATCAAAACGTCTACAGCTCCATTTTATCGGTAAAGGTAACTGTGGAAAATAGAATCATTTCAGGGGTGGCCCTTTCTTTTGACAGACTTCACAACTTTTCAGAAAAAACATGACCTAGTAGTTGCTCCAAGATGTAAACATACTACTTTAAAGCATGGTGTAGGCAGAGAAGGTAGCACCTCCCACCAGAGGATGATTGCTGCCAACTGGATCCTAATCTCCAATTAATACATTGACAACTCTGTAAATTCATCAGTGACACATGGAAGCAGACC